GAACCCCAAGGTGAGAGATTAGAGCTTGGGGGCAAGATGCTTATGTTAAATTGAGAGTACATCTAAACTGAGACAGTTTAGAACGTTATCGAAATTGCACATGATAAAAATTCACAAAATGGTTCTGCCTTCTGAGATTCATGTAGTCAGATTGTTAGGTTAGCTTGGCTTGTTCATTCTCACTCTCAGCTGATCAAAAGAAAAGGAGAAAAACAGGCATTTATTAATCCTGGAGGGAGAGAGATAATGTGTGCTAATTATTTACATATGGTACTAAATTGTATCGTGCAACATTGGTAAAGAGAATTTGCCTAAAAATCTGCATGACGGTAATTTCATTCAAAGCAGTTAAATCTAAGCTGTTCTGGAGGGGCTTTTGTGCTCAAGACCACCTGTGCTGGTATATTTAGACACAATACAGGTTTTTTACTGATTTTTAAAAATTTTATATATTATCACAATTTCATTTATTTTATTCTTCTGCATTGTCTATTGTTCTATTTTACTATTACGAACTGATACAAATTGTGCAATTCAGGGGTATAGAAATGCAGTACATAAATCATAATAACCAAACCTAAGACTGATCCCCCAAACTAGATGTGTAGTTTGTTACCTGAAAGTAAACCAAGTTACTTGGCTGTAAGTCTTGGGAGAGTCCATTAAAATATGTACTGTGTCTGTTAAACCTTTAAAAACTAGCAGGTTGAGTAGTCACGGAGCTCACATATTATTTCTTGTTCATTCTTATGTTAATAGTGTCAATAATGCTTTATACAATTTCCTAAGTATAAGATAAAGTTCTTTGCCCCAGGGATTTTACCCAGTCCTCTTTTCCTCTCTAAAATTGTTATTAATTTATTTAATAGATATCCTGATTTTTTACCTAACGGGCATTCAAGTTGTTATATAAATGCTTTCTTCATTTGTACCTAACAATGGCACAAATATGATCTGGTAACCTCTTTTTTCCTTCTGTGTCTCCATGATGATGTCATCATTTTGTCCTCCAACCTTAGTTATAGAGATGGTAAAAAAGTATTTCTCCTCTTCTGCCAACACTATCCAAGGACACTTTCAAGGTGCAAAAACCTGTAAGGCTTGCTCACCCATTATCTCCCAGTCACTAGACTCACATTATCAGGTGACTACAGTGACAGCAACAGAGGCAATAAAGGTGGGATAGAGTTCAGTAATGGGAACAGCAGATTTCATGCCACTATTTTTTTCTGCTGACTTAAGGATGGATGAAGAGCCCTTCTACTCAGTGAGGAAAGGCCCTTTGTCATCTTGTAGGAGTTCTATGGGGAAGAAATTATACACACCAGTTCCAAAAACTTGTCTTCTCTTATATGCTTATACGTGTTCTTAACTCCGGTATTTCTTTCTCCTCCACCGTCCAGGTCCAAGATTTTGGCTGGCCAGACCTGCATGCTCCACCTCTCGACAAAATTTGTTCCATCTGCAAAACCATGGAAACCTGGCTAAATTCAGACCCTCAACACGTGGCTGTCCTTCACTGCAAGGTGCAGAAAAAAATCTTCCCAACTTCCTGGCTATTATAGATATTTGTTTAAGGGAGAAAGATGGTGAACAAAGGGGGAATAAGACAGTAGACACTTCCTGCTGTCAGGGAAGAGGAATGAGATCCTGGCTTTCCAGGTTCATTAGCTGAGTGGTTTTTGTATGTCTTCAAAGTCACCAACCTAGAAGGCCCTCTGAGAAAGGTGAGACTCAGCTGCAGAGACTTAGACCGATGAGAATACCTCCATTGCATAATATAGACCAGTATTTCTCAACCTTGGCAACTTGAAGATGGGTGGACTTCAACTGGCTGGGGAATTCTGGGAGTTGAAGTCCACACACCAAGCTGCCAAGGTTGAGAAACAGTGATATAGACCTTTGCTTCACTCTGCTTATAGAGAGGTAAGCAGGACACCAGGTTCATTAGTCAGAAATTGAAAGTCTACAGTCCTGCCAAAATCCTCAGTGTGATGAAGTGGTGTCATGCAAACTTTCTTCTGTTTATGAGAGCTGGAATCCTAATCAGCATTCACCGCATCTTTTTAGTAATGTCCCCCATAGTACTAATAGATGTTGAACTTGTTTCCATTTTTTAAGTTACTGGTAACTTAAAAAAGATTTCACATTCCCAGACTGGACAGAGAAGAAGGGAAGAACATACAAAACTGGCTTTTTTTCTAATTATGACCAATAGCTTTTGTCTGTTAAATTATCAGATTGAATAACCATTCTCCAGATTCATTATCGTTTTTTTTCAGTAAAATAAATGGATTTTTCCATCTCTGTTTTATTTTCATTTGCAACTTTTAAAAGCTTTCCTTGGAGGCTTTTTGGACAGCCTGGAACTTCTTCCATGAAAAGCTTAGTCTTCACCAGTTTTACAAAGGAGGAGGTAATTGAGTGTTCTTCATATGTGGTGGTGGTGCAGAATGGCTTCCAACTGACAGGGTAGTGAGATTATAGAAATATACAAATTGAATAAATTGTATTTATACAAACTGAATAAACAAACAAATGAATAAAGTGAGTGTTGGCAAAAATAATGTATCTTCTTTCATGTTCCCATTTTTGTGCTCTCCCATCACCACTCCAAGATGGCTGCTGCATTTTGGCAAAACTCCTTGCCCCCCTGAACTGATAGTTGCAATCCATGATTCCAATGCCAGTATTTAACATGTTCTCTCTTTGTGCCAGGGCAACAAGGGCAAGACGGGTGTGATCGTAGCCTCTTACATGTACTACAGCAAAATCTCTGCAAGGTATTGAGCTAGGGAGAACAATAGATGAGCTACTCTAGTAGTACCGATCGCAGTACTCATCGACAGCCACTTTCTTCCTCTCCTCTCCTTTCCTTTCCTTTCCTTTCCTTTCCTTTCCTTTCCTTTCCTT